AGCGCGTCGGGCTGAGGTTGTTCTGGCCCCTGGGAAGCGCTGCGAGAAGAGGCAGAGAGAGAGGCAGGAGCAGCACTGAAGTACAGAGCAGCTGTTTGCAAATACTCTGATTCTTTTGGGTACCTCGATGAATGTGAACATGGATTCTGTCACTGAAATCTTCTTGAAGCTGCTGTTTCTCCTGTCTGCTCACAACCGGCACATGGCACTGGCGGGGAATAAATGTGAGTATTGCCTATGATTTAAAACTCAATCCGGAGTGTTTTGAAAAACTTCTGGGGTATTTTATTTGCATTAAGAGTAAATATTATTTTTGAGACAGGTGTTCATGCTTTGAAATCGTGACAGCAAGCTGGCAGCCTGAAATTTTCGAAAATCCTTCTATAGGTTTTTGTCATGAGTCTATGTACAGAATATTGTTTATCAAGCTTGCAGTGTAAGAGTGTCTGAAAGCAGCGTTTTACTGAGGGATGCACGTTCAGCCCCATTTTCATTTTTGTTTTCTAAGTGCAGCATTTTCCGAGGAATTGTGTCTTACATGGAAATTACTGGCAGACTTCTATTGTGTAGTGTTTCAGCTTGGTTTTCAGCAATTGAAAATTTTGAAAGCTGGTATCCGCATCTTCTGAATTAAGCTGTCACTCACCTTTAATGGCAATCACAGTGCAGTTCAAAAGCAGTAGAGATACAGCAAGGGAAAAATGTGGACAGCAAGAGTTTAAGGTCTCTGCATTCATCATTTAGGGAGTATTGTTCATGCATGAATAAAGAGGAGAATGATAACTGTTCCAGCAGAAAGTTGTTTTTTTTTTTTAAGTGAGTTAGCCGGTGGGGTGGTATCACAAAATAAAGATAGTGATTACAGTTTTAAAGGCAGTCTGCTCCCTAGGATGCAAATCATATATGTATCTGAAAATCCCTGCTTTCAGTGCTGAATTAGATTTATTATCTTTAAATTAAAAAAAAAAGAAAATTAAAAACTTACTTACTAAGCAACTAATTTTCAGGGCTTTTATAATTCAGTAATAGATCTCAGTTATCCTTGTTCCATTCGATTCAGGTTGAACAAACTGAAGGATTTCATTTTGTGTTCTGTGGTAGTACAGTAGCCCAAATGCCAGATGCTCATAACCTGAGCTGAACAAATTTTCTCCCCTTCCTGTTAAGGCACTGGTTGTGCATCACAGGAATGGGGAGGGCAATGCTTCTGTGGGAAGAAAGTGCATGCCAAAGCAAGGAGGAATGTTCAGGAATAACCTTACAGCCCAGTGGCAAGGGGTAGCTCCCTGGAAACGTTTGAGCAATGGCAGAGAAGTTTGGAGTGCTCCATGGATCTGTAGCCCAGGGTTTTGCATATGGATGGTTTGTAAACTAAACATGCTCCCATGAGCCAGACATTCACATTGCAGCACCAAAATGATCTTGTGCTGTCATTCAGTAATGATCTCTCATTTGATACTCAAGAGCACAGTGTAGCCCTAAACATGAATACTAAGTTCCTCTTGTTAAACACTCCGCTGCAATCCAGTCACAGCTTTAATTCTCTTCATCATTCTGCATTGTACAGCTTATGAATACATCCATTTTCACAAGACCATGATAATTGAATTGCACATTAATACCATTTGGCACTATGCACAAAACTAAATCAGTTGCTTACAGGGAGGCATATTAAAACCATTGCAAAAAAAAGACTTGCATCACACAGCAGAGCTGTAAAGCACTAGAGGTCACTCTTACAATTTAGGAAGCAAGGTTTGAGGAAGAGGCTGTAGCTTTCCAAAGCAGGATTCTGAAGGATAAAACAAATCAAGTATGAAATACATCTGCTACTGGCTTTCTCAATACATGTCAAAAACAGGCCAAAATCAATTACAGTGTCAAATGGTTGAATTGAACAAACAGATTTTTTTCACATATATACTAATATTTAGAAATGGATAGTATTTTTATTTAGGAATAAGTCCTAACTCCTATGACAAAACATTCATGTGATCTGAAAATATAAGAACTCTCACTCATGCTGCAGGCAAGGAAACTTATTGTGGGAAGAATAAATTAAATTATTTAAATTAAGGACTGAGCGTTAACATATGAAGACAACTTGGCCTGTCTAATGTATATTATTTATTTTCAATATCTAAACTCAGGGAAAAAAAAATTCCCTCATGTATTATTTTTGAAGTCAAAATTTCTGTGGAAGAGTTAGTTTATTTTGGAAGTGACAGTTTCCATCTCAGGTGTCACAGTATAAAATTTCTTAGTGTGTTAGGATTCATAAAACTACCACTGGGGTTTTTCACAATTACTGATTCCAGTAGATCCATACTGGAGCCATAATCTACCCATTTGAACTTATTTTACTCCTTTCTTCTTGAGATGTTAAACAGGAATTGAAATCCTTCTCAGTAGGTGGTTTTACTATTGGCATTAGGGCATTTTAACATGTTTACCAAAACAGGTAAAGCTTGGTTTCCTTGCTGGAATTCTGATGGCTAGATTGTCCAGTAGGCTGCCAATCATCAAAGAAAATAGAAAATAGGGTTTTTAAGCTTTCCTCTATATTAACCTTTTTCTTTTCTTTTAATTTTGTGGGTCTTTCTGTAGTCTCAGATCCTGAACACCTCAGTTTTTTCTTTGTCCTTCAGGCCAGCTGCCAGTAAGAAAAGACCAAAGTAAAGACCTTTACACTTCACCTTGAAGTGACAATGCTGGTGTTACGAGGTCAGTTGTATAAAGAACATTTCTCGGATCAAAAATTTACGTGTTCAGAATTATTTCTGTCTTAAAAGAATCATAATATTCCTCTTTTGAATAAAATGATTTTCTTAAGTTGTCTGGAGGTACAGACATGTCGTCTAGAACATGCAAGTTAATTTCTATGGTCTTATTTTTGGGTTTGTTTGTTTGCCTTGAAAATTAACAGTGACACTTCCAAACAAAAGAGGTAATAATTGGTGCTGAAAAGTCAAATATTTTAAAAGTTCTACAGTAGTCCTGCTTAGTGGTTTCCTGTGCTTTCTTCCTCCCAAAGAATTGCACTTCCAAAGCAGTTGAAAGAAGTTTGAAGTGCACTGAGTAAGTAACTGTATAAGGTCAAGTGTGAGTTTTAAATGAAGTATTAAAGCAAGTACTGCTGTAAGTTTTTTTTTTTTCACTGGAGCTGTGAAACATTTTTATTTTATTGGGAACTGGCTCTACAGTTGTAAATCAGCAAGTTACTAAATCATCCCTTGAAAACCTGCCAGAAATTGGTACTCCAATAGGTGCAGTGTTCTTTTGAAAACTCTCTAAAACTGAAGTGTTGCACAAAATGTAATTAAACCCTCTATACACATCAACTCAACTGTGACCAAAAATTATTAAGGTTAATTTTGACAGTGAATGGAAATAAAGAGAACAAATTAGGGACTTTCCATGCAAATTCTCACCTCTTCATACCTACTTTTTTGTGTTATAAAGGTCTCCAGTTTTACAGAAACTTTTACTAATTCGCATTTTGATATATGTGCTATGATAATCACAATTTTTATAAATGTGTGTTTATTATTATTTCTACTATGACTGCAATTGATATTATTTTTAAATATCAAGGATTTCTTGCTAATGCTAGAATAGAGTACCTCTCTCTAAAGCTGACAGTGAATGACTGTTAATGAAGGTTTTCAGATAGAGGGCTGAGTGAATACATATATTGATTATACTGTGACATGCAAGTCATTGTACATGTAATATCCCTAGGGAAGGGATTACTTGCTACAAGGAAAATACTGTATCTTAATTTAGAAATTAATATCACTTTGATGTTAATCATTGGTACCAAACAGTTCCGTAGAATAACTGGCAACTTTATGGAATTGCATTAAAAGTATACTGAAGTGTTGTTTATCAAAACCAATTTAATTTAAGATGTTGTTCTTTTCCCATTAGCTCTTGATTGATGTGAACTGTAGGGAACGAGAAAGTAGACATTTCTTCAATTTTATTTTAGCTTCATTAATATTTATCTTCTGTTTATTATTATCTATCTCTACTATGAGATAGCAATGGAGACCTCATCAGAGATCAGGCCATCCCTGGGCAATTATTTCCATGAATAAAACATTACAGACATCTCTAGTATATTTGGCATGTTTTTAGTACAGTAACATCAAAAGCTTGTATCAACATCAAATCTAAACTAACACCAACAGAAAAAACTATCAAAAAAATTTTTGTCAGTCTTTCAAGGCTTAGAATTCACAAAAAGGCCTTGGGTTGATTACACTGAGTATAATCAACAATTTACATCCCATTGCTCTAGGCTTTCAAATTCCCATGAACACACTTGTCCCTGAGCTCAGGATGGATGGAGGAAACTTCATCATGACTGAAGGAGAGTGACAGACAAATGATGACACCTCAAAGTAGGACAGACTCAACCACAGGGATAAAATGCAGTATGTTTATGTAAAATATGTTGTAAGTGCTAGTAATAACATTTGCTTCACATGTTAGGATGTACTGTGTTTTAGTTAAACACCAGTCAGAAGTTCCAGATAAAAGAACTTCTTCACATCTTCAGTCATGGCCATTCTGCTTTCTTTCTTACATAACAAGTAGATGTAAGCACACATTTATGTTCATCCTCAAGAAAAACAACCTTTAGCTAAGCTGATGTATTCAGTTGCCTACGTCTCTCAAAATCATGGGTGCTTCTGTCATTGTATATGAGGTACAGTGGTCGAGTTTAGTATTTATTCTGAACATTTCTCCGTTGCAGTAGGAGAAAAAACCCAAACAAAGAGTTTGTCACACATTTAGAGGACTGGTGGTGTTTAACCCCAGGCATCAACCGAGCACCGTGCAGCCGGTCACTCCCCAAACAGCAGGATCAGGGAGAGAATTGGAAGGGTGAAAGCCAGAAAACTCATGGGTTGAGAAGAATTGGACTTGATGATCCTTGTGGGTCCCTCCAACTCAGAATATTCTGGGATTCTGGGATTCTGTGGATAGGAAGAGCTAAAGCTTTACACGTAAGCAAAGCAAAACAAGGAATTAATTCACTGCTTCCCATGGGCAGGCAGGTGTTCAGCCATCTCCGGGAGAGCAGGGACCCATCACACCTAGTGGTGATTTGGGAAGGTAAAAAGCATTGCTCCAAATGTCCCCTCCTTACTCTGTCTTCCCCACTTTTATATAATTTATTATTATTATTACTAAGCGTGATGTCATATCATAGAATCACAGAATCAGCTGGGTTGGAAGGGACCTCCGAGATCATCAAGTCCAACCCTTGATCCAACCCCGCTGTGGTTCCCAGCCCATGGCACTGATGCCACATCCAGTCTCACCTTAAAAACCTCCAGGGACGGAGAATCCACCACTTCCCTGGGCAGCCCATTCCAATGCCTGATCACCCTCTCTGCAAAGAAATTCTTTCTAATCTCCAACCTAAACCTCCCCTGGCACAGCCGAAGACCCTGAGCCCTCTGAGAGTTGCCTGGGAAAAGAGACCAACCCCCCCCGGCTCCCCCCTCCTGTCAGGGAGTTGTAGAGAGTGAGGAGGTCTCCCCTGAGCCTCCTCTTCTCCAGGCTGAACAGCCCCAGCTCCCTCAGCCTCTCCTCACAGCACTTGTGCTCCAGTCCCTTCCCCAGCCTTGTTGCTCTTCTCTGCACCTGCTGGTCTGGAATACCCCTTTGGTCAGATTGGGTCACCTGTCCTGGCTGTGTCTCCTCCCATCCTCCCATGCACCCCCAGTCTCCTCGCCAGCATTGGAAGTACCAAAAGCAGAAAAACCCTTGGCTCTGTGTAAACCCTGCTGAGCAATAACAAAACCATCTCTGTATAAACCCTGTGTCCAGGACAAATCTAAAACATGGCCACTGTGAAGAAAATTAACTCTACCCCAGCCCAACTCAGCACAGTGTCTCATGTGATATGCTTGCTAGTATTCTCTCTACTGATTCATCCTCTGAAAGAACTTCAACAACCACAATCTCATGGCTTCTAAGAAGTTTTGCTGCAAAAAAATGGGCCAAATATCTCCCCCATCCATTCTCAATCCTGCTGCCTTCCCACTCCAAACAAGCGAATCAAAGAACACTTCAGTACTCAAGAAGGTCTTTCAAATATTTCTTTTCTTTTCTCCCCAAATACACCTGTGCTTTGGTGCCACTTGCAGTTTTGAGAGTTTAGTGCGCAGCATCACGCAGGATTAGAGCTCTGTTTTGTGGGAATGTTAGAACTGCTCCTCAGCACCTTAATATGCTTATTCCATGGTAGTGGCTCTCAGCTAACACGGTGAAAACAGGAGGTGGAAGCTGGAAGGTCCATCACTACTTCAAAGGGCTCTCCTTTCTAGAACAATCCAGGCAATTTTTTAAGAATGGTGAAGGAATAACAAGTACAAAAATAGTCATGTCTGTGACTCCAGAAGCACAGATTAGCTTTATTTAAGATGTTTTTGAAGTGAAAAGTTAAAATTTGCTTTTCCCTCTGGGTTTTCAGTTGTTTTATGACGAGGGAGGGAAAAGCAGAAAAATAGTTATACACTTGATTGTTATAGGTTTCTCTACAATTGCTTGTATTTTGTACTGTTAAATGCTTTGGTGGATTGATCTGGTAGTTCTTGAATATAGAATCTTGCAATTATAACTTGCAATTTTGGCAGTCAGGGTCTATGCATGACTTCTAAACTAAAAGTTGAAGAAGAGATACGTGTCTCAGTAAACTAGCATGTATTATATAAATGTCATTATAATAAAAGCTGCCTCTCTAAATTTGAGAAATAACATAAAACATACAGGAGACACAATATGCTGTCAAGAAGAAAATGTTTTGCTGTATTTTTTTTTTGTAAAAAACAATGGAGCTCTAGTGCTAGGGTTAAACTAGCTGAAGTTTACTGAAATTTTAGCTCTGCAGTGTTTTGTATCTATGTATTTAATCATTCTTACTTATATGTCATGTGTTTGTATATATATATACATGTTTATATATTTTATATATATGCATGATATATATACCATTGGAGATGAACTCTTTTCAGTGGAGTATTCTATAGGTTGTCTTTCATCAATTGAAGCCTATGGCAGTAATCTCAAATTAAATCTGTGAAGTGCAGAGGAGGATTGGTGTCCAATTATTCTACTTTTCAGAGGAAATTTTTAAGTGCTCACTGCAAACTGGTGTGCTATTTTTGGTAGGCAGAATGTTGTGTGGACTTGGAGGTAACAATTATAATGTTTATGCTTTACTTAATGAGCATTTTCAATGCAATAATTTGAAAAGTGATTGAAATCCTGGAAACCTCATTTTAAGCAGATTAAAATTAGCAACCACAGAGTTATTTTTTAAATATCATACCCACTTAATAGAGGAGTGAAGAAAACTAGGGTTTTAAATCTCAAAGGATAGAGAAAAAAATATGGTTAGGAATTCTATCCCACTGGGTAGTGGGTCTAATAACTTTTTTATTAAGCGTATCTTGTTATTGGGCTGTGCTCAGGAATAAGTTATTGCTTGTTCCTTGCTGTTACGGTGCCTGTTTGTTTCTACAAAATTCTTTTAGCAATTTAAATATTTACATATGTGGTCTTCGGGGAAAAGTAGGTTAGAAACAGCATGTTGGAATATTTGAATTCATTGCTTAATATCATTCTTTTTTTTTTCCAGCCAATAGCTGAAGAAGACCTTGCTCTTTTTCAGATGTTTCTCTGTGCACTTTAAAATCTAAGCAGAAAGTGTTTTTTAAAACATAATTATTTCTAAAAATATGGTTTTATTAATATTTCTTCCTGATTACATTTAAAATTTGCTACCAAAAATCTCCATGTGTATCTGCTTGACCTGTTCATCATTATTGTGAAAATATACCTTTAAAGAAAATTCTAAATAATAAATAAATAAAAAAAAAATAAAGTCTCATAAAGTATGTGGTTAAACAGGGTACAAAAAGTTTAAGTCTCCTGCATCATTCCACTGTATCCTCAGTTACACTAGATTAGATATGCTCAACATGCATATTCTGTAATTATCTGAAAGTTTTGAGGGCAGGGAAAAAGTTGTTTTTTTCCTTCAGGATTACAAAGTATGGTAGAGATCATGTGATGTTTGCAGCTATGAAATATTAATAAGAAAACACTAATTTGAAGCTGAAAGAAATTTGGAATTAGAAATAATTACATAGGAGCAGAAAAAGGGAGATTTTTGCTGCTTCATTTATTAGCAAATATGACTTACTTTTGAGATACATAATTAACTCTGATGCCTTCTGCGAAGATGGGAAAATTGGGATTTATCTGTCTAAAATTAAAAGTATGAAACTTGAATATTTTCTTCTGAGCTAGCTAAGTCCCTTTTTAGTCATATGAAAGAAAAAATTTGTCTTATACAAAGAAGCCATGCAGAAGATGGAAGGAAGAAATCACATGCAAAGACGATTTGCAGTGTAGAAGTGCCATTTGTCTCATTACTGATTATGAGCTGAGTCTAAATAACTAGGACATCTGTAGGCTTTGTAGAAATTAAAACTAGATGAGATGGGTTCCAGTTCCATCAGAATATCCTGCTCTTATAAATAAGTATTAGAGAAAAGTACTGCAGGCTGTGCTGACTGTCCTGTTCAGTGGTCACCAGCTCTACCCATTGCATTCGTGTTGGCTGATAAGGCTCCCAGAGTCTCCTTTCTCTGTGTTTGGGTGAGCAGGTTCTCCTTGACTTCCCACGGGTTATGGCTGCTTCTGTTGCTAATCCCAACAAAAAAATACAGGGACTAAGTGAGGAGCTGGAAATTCTCTACCAGTGAGAGTGTCTTTCACTCCTGAAAGCGTGAAATAAGCGGGTATTTTGGCCATGCACAACGTTCTGGTAAAGTGAAAATCTCATTAAATTAAATAAGCTGGAACTGTCTGTTCTATCCACCTGAGACAGTCTGATCTTTCCACCCCTTTGATAAACCACGATTAAAGTTCCATTTTAACCCCAGCCTTGTCAAAATGTGTACCTTTGTTTCTTTTAAAGAAAGCATAGAGTGAAAAAAAAACCCAAAGCAAACCAGGATCCTACAGCATTTTATTTTTATAAAACAGTAATAACCGAATAAAAAGATCTTGGTACTTTCATGATTACTTTAAAGCCTTCCTACCATCCAGCATCTGATGATGATTCAGAATAGAAAACCTTTTTTATGCTTCAAACCAGCAAGCTGTGACTCTCACTGCAACTTTCCAATCAGTGACAGGATGCCTGTCTACTATGCAGCTGTCTAGTTTGCAATAGTTTTGTAATCATGGTGAGATTTACTTACCATTCTGGTTTTTTTTGAAGAATAAGCAATCTTTAGTAACTGGTTGGTTTTAGTTTTTTTAATCAATGAAAAACTAGCCCTGCGACCCGATGTCCTTATTCTTCATAACTAAAAATTCCAGAGAAATCAATGGGAGCTTTACCTAAATAAATAATGAATAAAAGCTTCGGAAAGAAAGAGCTGAATATTCATTCAACACTGATATGATGCATGGTTTGACTATAACTGGGTCTCTTCATTTCCCTTCTAAGCAACAGTCCTTTCATTATGCCTTGTTTGGAGGACTCAGACACACAACTCTATAACAAGAAAGAATTAATCATTTGTCCCTCTTGACAAAAAATAAATATGAGAAGAAAAAGACATTTAGAATTTTAGCTAGTTCCTGTGGTTGGGGAATTTATGTGCCTGCAGTGAAAAACTACTGCCCTGCTTTTCTGAGCCAATGGTAACATGTTTTTAAAAAACTATCAAGATGATTGATTTTGATTTTCGAAGGTGAAACAGCCCCTTAAAACCAAATTCTTTCAGGAGTATCTGAATGCCATGGTGCACACTGGAGGTTGCTGAGCTCTGCCCTCCAAATTGATAAAGTGTGTTGCAGTAACTCTTACTTTTATGAGCCTGAGTGTGGAATTTGTTTTTCAGTTGCACCATGCCAGTGTACTCTGCAGCTCCACCATACCCTTCAGAGATTATATGTCTGCCCTCAAGCAAAGCTTGTCTCAGAGATTCCTTTTCCACAGAGCAGACACGTCCTCCAGTAATTAACACTGGAACCAACCAAACACTTGGGGACAGGAGGGATCATCATAAAACTTGTTTACAAATACTAACCCATAATTTTACTCCTTACAAGTTTTACTCTTACATAAAATGTATTTTTAATCACGTTTATGTCACTGAATAAATTTCTTTCCCCTGCAAAATAGGAGAAGCAGAACCATGGTGCTTTGTAATCTCATCTCCTAATGTGCTTTTTGGAAGATAGGGATAGCAGTGATTAGCCTGGCACAAGAGAACTATGACAGGGTGTTTTTCATGGCACAGTGTTGTAAGAATGTTATTCTGACTTCACATAAAATGGAATACAGAAGGAATTCAATGATAGATGAATCAGCTGCCAAACCTTTGTTTGATTTTGACAGACTCCCTGTTACTGTAAGAGACTATAAATGGTCTTTTTTCATCTGGGTGAAACTTACAGTCCATATAACAGTAAATAGGTGTAAAAATCTTAGATGTCCTAGACACAGGTAAGAGGTTAAAGGTAGGTATAGAACTCTTCTGAAGAATCCTTGAAGATATGTTAGGAAATGTGTAAGTTTCTTCTATGGGATATCACCTTTTAGCATCTACTTCCTATGTATTGTTAATGTGCTTTGGGGCATGTTGAATTCTTTCTTTTTTTCTCTTTCTTTCCCAAGGGCTCAAAATACTCAACCATGAGCTTGTTTTGACTTTTGTGAACAGTCACTGTCTCATAGATCATACTTATGCTGTGTAGCTGTCCTTTACTCTATTCTGATTCATTCTCCATGGACAGAAAAACAATTAATTTAAGAGGTAGAGACTGGAGATGAGGAAGATTAATATGCAAGTGCCCATATGCACATTTCTGTGCTGTCTGCAGTTGCTATTTTTGAACCCTTTGCAAATTGCCTACGTCTCTTTGTTGGCTTTCTGCGTGTAGCCCAGAAGTGTTAGACATTGAGTCAGACTGCCCTAAATTTTGAGTGATGGGTGAGTGATGGATTCACAGTTAGGCTGAACTTTGTCTCTGTCATACTCAGGATACTGTGGTAGAAAGTGAATTTAATCACCACTGTGTCAAAGCAGGGTGGAAGGGTAGGCGGGGATGAGGAATCTACCATGGCAAAGATGTCTTTTCTTCTACCTCTTCAGTTCCTGCTTAGAAATTTGGCAACATTTTGCTTCTTGGGAAGGGCAGGAATGTATTTTCTGTGGATATTCTAGATAAGGACAGATTGAGAAGTTCTAGCAGGGAATCGTCTGCTCCAGCTCTCACCTCTAGTAAAGTGTGTGTGTGTGTGATGGAGGTGCTGAAGGGAGTAGTCTCTGTTTTGATGTTTCTAAAGTAATTTTGCAATGTCTCAGTGGAAGTGTTTCTAAGATAACTCCGCAGGTGTTGAAATTGTATGTTGAGTAGAATCAAATTATGTCAAATTTCAGTGCATGGCTGTGCATACTTGAATATTACAGATTCAGAGGCATGATTCAAAAATCTACCAGTGAACTAGCATTAGTAAAATGCTAGTATGATGGATCACAATGGCTTACTTAGGAAATGATGACTATGATGTTCATATTTTCATGTTAGCTTCTATAATTATATGTATCCATATCTTGCTGAATGCTGTAGTCTCAGCAGACATTTTTTTAATGAGAGATTCATCTTTCACATCTGAATTGTTGTTCGTGTGATATGATTTGCCGATTCCATAGATATTGAATTATTTAAATTATTTCTGTGTCTTTAATTAATGTAGAAGTACATTTGGAAAACAACATCCCAAGCTAGATATGTGTCCTTTTCTCAGTAATTCACGATGAATAAATTGTAACACAAAATAATCTCAAACCTGAAAGATCCATACTCGTGGGAATTTTGAAATGTTGTTCTCATCCTTCCTACCCTGCCACTTGCCAGTCAAGAGGTACGTGTAGGAGAAGTTGTGGTGAAGAAAGTGTTCCTCTGACTTTGGAACCCCACTTCTAAAACCATATTAGAACCACATTTGCAGTAACAGACAGTTTCAGTCAGAAAATCAAGATCCTTTTTCAGAATAGAACACTGTAGAATGTTGGTTGTTTCTTAAACTGTAGCTTGTCATAAAACATAACCAGGTAAATAGATGATAAATGGCGGTGGGTTGTAATCACTCAGTGTGTTGTCTGCCTGTATAAATTGTGATCTATGTTATAGTATGCTTAAAAATCTGCCTAAAAACATTTGATAGATAGTATCTTTACACACTTAAATTTCTTCAAATCAAATAATTCATTGTAATTTTCCCAAAAATTACTCTACTGTGACTGAGAAAACAAATCTTATACCAGACTGTAAACTATTATCTGTATTAAAATAAGGAATTTCTCATGAAGGAAGAATTGTCTTATTCCTTCAGGCCAAACAGAAATTTTTTTTCAAGGCCTAACTGCGCAACTCAGAAGAAAACCAAACATTTTTAAAAATAGTAAAAGTAAAAAATTAAAGTAGTAAGTAGTGTTATGTTTTTTTGGTGGTGTTGTTGATTTGGTTGTTTTAAAATCGGCTCAGTTTTAATATTTTTTACAAAGCTGAAGTTTCATGTAGTACTAAATAATGTTACATGATCAGTCAAAATACAGGTTTACAGAGCTCTGCCAGGAACACAGTATTTTGTAAACTCCCTCCATTCCCTTTTGCAGGCATCAGAAATTCAGATGCCAGATTGTCTCATTTTACCATGGCCTCCTTTTTTTCCTCTGGCAAGTACTCCAGGAATTGGAAATATCTGTGTTTCTGACACGTGATTTGGCTACCAAGACCAGCCTTGGCTGCTCTGCTCGACTGTTTCTTACTACTGGTGAGAAATGTGCAGTTTTCGTAGCAATACGAGTAGGTGGAGACAGATCCTTCCGCCTTGGAAGTCATGCGTGTATTTGAATATTTGAAACAACACTTCATTAAAGAGAGGAAGAGTCTTATAGTGAATAAAAATGTTTACTGCTGATCATCATCCATCATGACCAGGCTTTGCGAATGAAGATTTGGGGAGGGCTCTACCCATGTTTGTTACAAACACGCTGGTGGTTAAAAAGGCCAATACGAGATAGACACGTCCAACTGCAAAAGGCACAGCAGAAAGACTCCTTAGGTGGCAAATTCTGCAAGACACGATTCTTTCTGTGTTGTCTTTTCTCCTCAAGGGTGATCCTGGTGCGTTCTCAAAAGCATCAGCAGCGTTATAGATGGTGTGTCTCCAGGCCTCCCCATTGGAGACCAGAGTAGACCAGTTCTGGTGATCAATATGCCCGAGGCTGAGTTGTTGCTTCAGGGAGTCCTTGTATCTCCTCTTTGGGGCTCCTCTCTTGTGGCAGCCGGTGGCAAGTTCCCCATAAAGCAGGATCTTAGGGAGGGGGTGGTTGGTCCTTCATCCTGGAGACGTGCCCTGCCCAACACAGCTGTGTTCTCACAACATGGCCTCAATCCTTGTGACTGCTGCTTGTTCTAGAACAGATGTATTGGTCACATAACCTGCCCAGTGGATGTTCAGGATTGTACGGAGGCAGCGTTGATGGAGCGTTCCAGGAGTCGCAGGTGGTGGCGGTAGATGACCCATGATTCAGATCCATATAAGAGAGCAGACAGCACAATGGCTCTGGAAACACTGAGCTTGGTACTTTTCTTCAAGTGTTTATTTCTCCAAACTCTTTTATGAAGCTTTCCAAAGGCACTGTATGCCTTTGCTAACCTGTTGTCTATCTCCCCGTCAATCTTACCATCCGAGGAGATGAGGCTGCCCAGGGAATTAAACTGCTGGACTGATTTGAGCTCTGATTGGCCAATGGTGATGTGGGGATGATGGGAGACTTCCTGAGGTGCAGGCTGATAGAGAACTTTTGTCTTCTTTAAGCTGACTTCCAGCCCAAAGAGCTCAGCAGTGTCTGCAAAGCAAGATGTTAAACGCTGCAGAGCTGCTTCTGTGTGGGCAACAAGGGCGGCATCATCAGCGTAAAGCAGCTCCCGGACAAGATGGTTTAAGGTCTTGGTGTGGGCCTTCAGTCGCCTTAGGTTGAATAGACTTCCATCAGTACGATATCGAATGTAGATACCGTCCTGATCATCGAGGTCTGCCGTGGCCCTTTGGAGCATCCTGCTGAAAAAGATTGTGAATAGGGTAGGAGCGAGAACGCAGCCTTGTTTCACACCATTCTTTATTAGAAAGGGCTCAGAAAGTGAGTTGCCATGTCTGACTTGGTTGTGCTGATCCTCATGAAGTGAAATGATCATTTTAAGGAACTTGGGGGGACAACCTAAACGTTCCAAAATCTGCCAGAGACCTTTTCTGCTCACAGTATCAAAAGCCTTGGTGAGGTCAACAAAGGTTACATAGAGACCTTTGTTCTGTTCCCTACACTTCTCTTGCAGTTGTCTGAGAACAAATATCATGTCTGTGGTGCTCCTGTTGGCTCTGAAACCACATTCTACCATTCCAGGTAGAATTCCTTCCACTATAGCAGGTATTCATCTGTTCAGCTGTAACACATCATCATCTGTTTGTGCAGATCATCACTGCTGATATCAGCACAGCGTTTTTAGCACGTGCAGCTTTGCTGCTGACTTCTGATGTCGTGCTCCTCCTGTGAAACTCCAGCATTCAAACTTTTGCCCAAAATGAATGCTTTCCAACGATCTTTTAAAGAACTAATCTTTGTAATTGTGGAAAGAGAATAAAAACACCTGATGGGTTACCTCAGTGAAGGCATGAAAAAGCTGCATAAAGCTCTCAGGGGTTTTTAAGTCTTGGGTCCCATTCTGGGCTCCCAGTCCTGGCTGTTGAAGGAAGGATTCAGCAGGGTCCTGGCTGCCACCAGCACATTTAAAACAGCAAAAACGTATTGCTTGATTTTTCCCTTGTTTTGAGTCTCACAAGGCTTGTACATCTTGGCTATTTTTTGTTTTCAGCTTGAGAATTAATTGTATTATTGGGTAACTTCAGGTGACATTGACTGCATTGTCAAACTTGTAACTTGATTGTAACTCAGAATCTGGAGAAGGAAAAAAACACGAAAACACCCAACCACTAAGAAAGAACTTTTTTTCATTTAATTTTCATGAGTTAAATTAAACTTCATAATATTTTTATGCATAATATCAATTAATTTTTCAGGCTGGCAAGGTAGCACTTGTAACTGTACTCACAAACCTCGATGTAAAAAATGACTTTGCAGACAGGTGGGGTAGTTTGTTTTTTTTTTTTATAATCATGATTTAAAAATATCTTTTAATGAAATTGTTAACATATATTTTCATTTTTTTAATGTGCCTCACAATGCAGAGCTCTCTTTTACCTTTATTTCATGCTCAGTTTTAACATGGTTTTCCTATTGATGTTTCTGGATAATTGCATATGAGAATTTAACATAGGACACGAGTAGTTTAATTGCAGATATCAACACGGAACCTGCCTAAGAGTGATAAGGAAAATATCTGTTGTTGCTCTTCTGAGTAAGTTTCAGAGTTAATTTTAATACACATTCAAAGAAAAAATATAAATGCAAAACATACATTTTCTGAGGATTTTTTAGATACCTCATTCACAGCTACTGTGTGTTGAGCTCACATCTGAAAGAAGTGATTCTGTAATTTCCAAATGACAGAAAGCTTCATTTTAATGTCTCCTTTCCTTTCACTGGTTGCAGTTTTAACCACTGAACAAAGCGAAAACGCTGGTTTGTGCCAAAAGAGAAGATAAGCAACCATGGCACTTAGGAAAAAGCTGATTTTTATGAAGTCCTCTAGTAGCAATCAACATTCTGTCTATTCCTTCTGATTTAACTATATTTTGGCATAATTATAACGGAAAGAGCACAGAGTATGGACTTTGGAGAGTGTCTTGCCCTGGAGTTTTTCACACTGACTTTCAAAAAACATAGTAATTCCTTTCTACTGTTGTTATCTCAGGTCTGCCTTTATATTTTAGAGAAACTAATTGTGCATTCCTGGTCTATGGTACATGTAGAATAACTGTTTCCTTTCCTCTGTCCATCTGCAGTGTCTTTGCTTTACTGGAGTTTCTTGTTAGGTTGGAGTATGTTGCAGGGCTCTATCTACCACGACAGCAAGTGAAGCTGTACAGTTGTTTTTATGGTTTTTGGGGGTTTTTTGTTTTTTGGGTTTTTTTTGACCACGTGGTAAAACTTCAAGATTCCATTGATTTCAAAACCTCACCTAGACATGTATGTCTCTGATGGTGCCATATTCGGTCAACTCCCTCAAAACACAGCTGCTTCCCTCACCACTCCACCTGCCCCCTGTCAGCACTAACAGCAAAAAATACGTGGTTGGATATTGTATTTAGACACTATCTTGAAGAGAAAATGGATAGACAATACATTAGTAATTAGATCAGGACCATTTCATTGGAGTGACAAGAAGAGTTCTCTTTCAGTGGTAGAAAAATTCACCAAGCAATAACGAAATGCAGGGCTTTTCTAGGCACTATGGAGATAATTCAACTCACTTTCTTTAAAGGTGAATCATGTTTCTTTAAGCAGGCAGGCAAAAATAAGGCATGCAGCAAAGCACAAACTTTTTGTCTTCCTGGAGGTTTTTACAGCTGTGTGTGGAAACATGAGAAGGCCATCCCAGACAGAAACATCCATCAGGGGATTTCCTTTCCATGCAACGAGTGCTCTCTGAAGGGGATGAAGAAAGACTTGGGAAGCCGGGGCGAAGAGAAAAATTGAATTAATTCTGTTAAACAATGAATATTCTTCAGAAAAAAAAGAACCCATAGTTGTTTAATCTACTGTATATTTGATATTTTGGTGTTTGCCAAGAGATTAAGATATCATCTTCAGCCTAAAATGGTCCTTTTTTTATAGTTTGAGCAAGCACAACAGCAGATATCTCATGTAAATTTTTCATTCTACTAAAAAATTAATATACTGATAAGAAGTGTGATAATTAAGCTAACAAGTCAGGCTGGTCTCATTAATATGAAGGCAAATTTTCAAACTATAATCTTTCTTGTTGAAAAAAAGAGTTATTGGACTGCGGGATTTATTTTGCAAGTAAATTGAAAATTAAATTATGCCTCAAAGGCCTTATTAATTCTTTAAAAACAATTTTAAAAATGTGGTATTTATGATGATTCTTTTGCAATGTTGCAGTGTTTCAGCTCTATTGAAATAGCAGGGGAGTGTAATAAAGATATTTTTCCTTTCTTATTTTTCTCTTTCATGGATCTCCTCATGATTTTGAAATATTCTACTTCAGGAACAAGTTGAAAAGGAGTATCCCTGTGCATTACCTGTGTTTTTCTTTATTTCAGATAGGCAGCCTGAATAGTTTTATTTATATTATACCCACATTATGGGTATATATGATAGCATTAATAATCTAAATAAAGCAGGAACTTTTAAGGTTGACTGTCGATATGTCCATCTGAAGTCCCTCAATGGCCCTCAATTGTAGTGCAGTTGCAAAATTTAAACAAAGATTAGGTGTGAGCTGTTGATTTTCATTAGAAGCTCCATTTTTAAAAATTTGGTTTATCTGTTTTATGAGGCTTGGCTTCATCAGTATATTTTACTGCTTTATAGTGTGTTATTAGTTCAACTGAATTCTGTCAGTCACCTGAGAACAAGCAATCAGCAACACTGGCTTTTGTTTGCTGTCCCACTGCTTTATTCTTCCTCGTGGTGAAAACGACCCTTGAAAAAGGAACTTTTTTTACCTTTCTCTAAGTCTCTTAATCCAGAGTGAACCAAATCGTGATTTATTTCCTGCTCTCTTTTTCTTTCTTGTCTGTCCAAATGATTGAGGGTTGTGGATGAGATGCTACCCACTACCACTGGCCTACAGTCAATTGTTTGCATCCATATCTTTGGGGCTGGGGCATGGATTTGTAATCCTTCATGTTGAGACAGCAATTGAATGTGATAAATTTTAAGCATCCACTTGCTTTTTCACAGTTGTTCATACTAGTAGGGATTTTTATGTCATCTTGCGACTGACTAAAACACTTCAGTCATGTCTACCTAATAAGCTTCTGACTTGAGCTGAAATTCTTGTTATTTGCTGTCAAGTACATGACCTTGTACTTTCTGATGCCAGACTTCACTCCATTTCTGCTACTCTACCATCATCTAATTCTTTCTTTTGATTCTCCTCTGTGTTGATGACACCTCATTTTACAGAGAGGTGAATTCATGAACGTATCTCTAGCTTTTGTTTCGTGGTCTTAGTGAAATTAAGGAATGCCTTGATTCCCAGATTACTAATTCCTGGGTGGTTTGATTCTCCCCTTCTCAGTGTCTCATATTACCATTTTCCTGTCATTATGCAGCGTGTGGTTTCTTTTCTTATGTACTCATGAATGACTAGCAATTTCTTATGCAATAATAGATGAAATCAGCCACTCCTTTTCAATCTAAAA